TAATCTCCATATGACTAATTCACATGGAACATGTTACAACGTGAATATTTAAGTTTTTTCCTTCAATTCTCTCTTTATAAACTTAGCTATTTATGCATGCCAGAAACCTGGGGTCGTAATTAACTCCTCACTTTCTGCTGTACCTTCCACTTTGTTGGACTGCAGTTCTTCAGGCAAGTTATAGGCAAGATCTCAGGACCATCTGGCCCATCTCGCTGTTGGCAGGCAAACATTCCTAAACTCAGTTGTCTTTCTAATCTCTTTGTATCTGGGTTGAGGTTCACTCAGACTCTTCTGCTGACTTTGGAGTGGGAATGAAGAATGGAAGCCTCAAAGAAACTTCCCTGCTAGGACTCAGCACCTAGGATGTTTCTGCTTCTAGCTCTTCTCCTCTATCTTATCCTTGATGTAGAGTTCATGAAACACAAACTTGTTTTGTTTGTAGGTTTCCTCAACAGGGAGCCACATGCCTCATCATTACTGCTTTTCCTAACCCTGGATAAGTGTGCCATTCCCTGGGGAAAAATGGAGCAGGGAGCTGGCACTTCTTTCAGTTTTAGATACTCAGTTATTCCATTACAGTAGCGCTTAAGGGCTTAAGCCCTTGACTTTTTTTTTTCTGCTTGTTGATTTAAGCAGCTGCTCAACCACCTGACAACTCAGCTCTCTCTTTCCAGCACAGTTCATTGGGTTCTACAACCAGATCCTGTTTCGTTTGTCTCTACACAAGACCTGCAGTACATCCGCTTTTTTTCTAACCCCCTCACTACTATCTTATCTAAATTTGCTCCTGGCCCAGTCTATTGCCCTAACCCTTCAACTGGTCTCCAAAAGGAACCAAAGTAATCCATAAAATTAAAAAAAAATAATTAGTATTTCCCTGCTTAAATCTTTTTATAACTTTCTTCTGTAGTGCAAATTAAGTAAATCCTTACCTTCAGACATTGTAACTTATCTGGCATCTACCTGAGTTGGTGTGTACTTCCCCAGACACTTTATTACTCATTCCCCACTCACTCCACTCTTGCTATGTTATTATTCTAGGTTGAAATCACCCCCTCTCAATCCTGAAAGCCTTAGGGGCATTGGCCAGTCGATTGTAGAGGGTGGTGTGGGATGAGGTGGGGGAGCAGTCAGCCTGGGCAAGTGGGAGGATTTCATCACTGACACTGCCTAGGAATGTCAGCATGTGTGTGATGAGTCAAAAACAGATGAACTTTGATTGGTCTAATTACTTTTCAGTTCTGTTGAAACAAAATAGCCCCTTAATCAAAGCCTGTACCCAATGTTGATCTATTCCTCACGCTCTGCTTGGCACCAGGCACATAGTTACTTCTGTATGAAACTCTCATTGCCATACTGTTTATATTGATGACTGCTGCTCATCTCTTAGGCTAAAGTTTAAATACAACTTCTTTAGGAAAACATTCCTTGGCTGTTGAATGTAAATTCAGTTTCTTACTTAAAATATGATTTTCATAAAAAATAGAACTTATCAAAAACTATAATTCTATATTTACTATATTTGAATGTGAACTTCATTAATATCATGACTTTGATCTTTGACCCTCAGTGATAGCCCCCAACAGATAGCAGAGTCCCTGTTACATAATAAGGTTCAATATATATTTGATGGAAATTGAGGTCATGCATTGTCACAGAAGTCAGGGAGAGCTAGTACACTGAGGAGTGGAAGCAAGGTGGGGACACATAGACGATTCTTTTGAGAAGTTCGTGTGTATACCAAGTAAGAGAAATGGGTGTTTTCAAGAGGTAGATGTGATAATGAAAGAATTGCATTATTTTAGGATTCTATTTTATGCCTTGAACAGATTTAACTGCTAGGTAGGACCCAGTAGGATAGAAACACACTGTGTAATCATGTGTAAGTATTTGTTAAAACACAGATTATTGGGCTGTACTTCTAAAATTTCTGATGGAGTGATCTGGGGGTTTTGGATAATTTACAGTCCTAGCAAACTCATAGGAAATTCTGATGCTGCAGTTTGAGAAATACTGAGATGCAACTTAGAGAAGTCGATGGGAGGTTCCAGAACTCAGGGAAAGAAAATTATTCTCTTACATAAGAGGGAAGAACCAAAAGTCCAAACATTAGTAAGGTTAAAGATTAAGGAGCTACACTTCTCTCTTGTCATTGGATTCTTTTGTCTTTGAGGTGGAAAATGAGGTCATCTGATGAGAATCAGGAGGAGGATTGCATGCTAGAGGCGGAAAAGGAGGCTACGGCGGTCTTGGTCGAAAGTGAGATCATGTTAGGAGAGCAACACCAGTGATGCTGATCCACGAGGAGACCAAGGAGTGGCTGGCAATGTACATCTATATTGACATACATCTGTCTGTTGTGTCATTCAAGTTACTGATCACATTTCCATCAACTGGGTAAGGTTCAGGGACAATCAAAGCATTCCAGAGATTGGTAATATAGCATTAACTCTAAGTGTGAATGTGCAACAAGGCAAGAGAGACTTCCCCTGGCTCAGAACTGCCGTGTGCAAACCTGAATATGTCACCCTTGTTTCTGGAGATGTTGTATGACATCCTTCACTGCTACTGTACTTCTGTTTCCTAGTACAAAAGTTCTGTTTCCCTCATTTACTATTGTTTAAAATGTGATTTTACATGGAGATATTATAAAAATTTCTATGTTAAGTGAGAGATGCAGAAGTACAAACCTTAACTTCATTCCTCACTCCCCTCCATCCTATCCACTCACTAACCCCAAGAAAAAGCTTTCATCTTACTCAGTCTCTGACACATGATTTTGAAGTATGTCAGCCATTGGCAACCAAGAGTAACAAGAAAGGCAGAAAAGTACAACTGTTACTTAGCCTTGTACAAATAAACATGCTTTCTGCTGGCTTTGGTAAAGGTCAGGGAATTGGGAACTGGCAAGCTGACAAGCCCAAGAAGCTGAACAAATAGATAGTCCAGGGAGTGTGCAATCCGAAGCACCACCAAATCCAGGCTTCCACTGGGAAATCATAATTGGCTACAAATGACAGAGGATGATGACAAGGGCTCTTCTCAGAACCTTAAGGAGAAAGATGTAGTTTCTTTTTTAATGCCCTGGTATAGAGTCATATGAAAAACTGGATTTTGTTAGGATTTGCTCATATGATTAATTTTAATGTTGTCACTATTGAGATGGAAATAAAAAGAGAAGATGATGCAAATATGAAACCTGGTCAGGAATTCAAGGAGTATGGGGGATCATTTGGACATACATTTGTACCTATCAGATTCAGACAAGATGGTTGGTGATCTGATAATTGTACAACAATGAAACGCTTTCATGCTAACTGGTGGCTGGTCACAGTCCTGAGCTCTTAGAGTAGTTCACCTGTTGCCCCAGACTTCCTTGCATCACCTCTCTACCCTTGATCTAGCAGCTAACAGGTAACTACCAGCACATCAGTATTTCCACTAGGATTTTCAACATCCATTGCCATATTGGTTGTTCAGTCTATCAGCCCTATATGTAGATGTTGTATGTAATTACCTGCAGCTTACGACTTGCCTATTGAAGAACTACTTTCATCACAACTCACAGGGGCACTTGTCAAAAGTGCAGATGCTTGGGTCCCGTGTATCAGACTTGCTGCCTCTCTGGGCAAGGGCTGGAATGGTATTTTGCACTCTCCCAAGTGATTTGGGAGCATCCTATATTGTTTGAAGGGAGGATTCTAAGTCTTAAAACTCTTTGTATTCACCACCGAGCCTAGCTTTGTGTGCTTGTTCCCTGAAAAGAGAAGGAATCATTGATTCAGAAATATGTGAGCTGAAAAGACAAATTAAAGATGACAATGATATTGATGATGGTGATATTGCCAGCAGGGGCTAGGCCTTGTGTTTACGATGTGTCAGTAGCAAGACAGATGTCTTATGTGCGTCATATGAGTGAACCCACACATCAACCAACATAGGTTCTGCTCTGATTTCCATTTCAAGATATAGGAGATTCAGAGAAATGGAGGGGGTTTTCTGAATCTCATCTTTGGAAAGGGATAGGCTTCTCAGTTTGTCTGATTTCAAAGTGCATGTATTTTAGTAAGACATAATGATTTTCAAATCAGAGGCAATTTTAAGGATAATTTCAAAAATCAGGTTCTATCAATTTACTCCCTTTTATTGGCCTTTGTTTCATATTTATTTACTGCATTTTAACATGTATTTCCAGGAGAAGCAGGCATGGAAGGTGACAACATTGTAAAAGCTGTGCTGTACTGTCTGTCTCACAAGAAGCAAAATGAATGACACAGAATATAGAAACCAAAGGCAGATAGAAATATTCTACAATTCTTAGGAACAATTACAAGACCTTAAAAAAATGAGACAAAGTAACAAAACAATATTTTTTTTAAAAAAAGAAATCATGATAGCTACCATAGAAACTTGAAAATCAAGTTAAGAAACAGATGTTGAGGTGTATCTAGAAAGTGAACAGAAAGATAATGGAGTCACGATAAGAATTCATTCTAGAGAAAATGATAAGGGCAACTGAGAATTTGTCAAGATCCTCAAGGGTGAGCTGATGCCAGGATTTGACAGAGGGCAAGACAAGCTGTCTGGATATAGAGAAATGAGGGCAGCTCATTTAAAAAAACAGCTAGAAGAAGCAGCTGATTGAAAGGATAAGTGGGCTTTATCTGCATGCAGGTTTGTTTTGAAGTATTCGGCCTGGAAGCTGGGATTAATGAGATCACATGGTATTATAACTTAACTCTGTTTAAAGCATATTAATGCACTGAGCTTGATGAAGAATAGCTAATTAACATCTTTAAAACATAAAGAAAACAGGAATATATACCATACTGTCTTTTCAGGGCCAAAACAAACTCCAAATCAAAACCTGGATTAACGGAATCAGAGTGCTTGTTCCGGCTTCAATATATCAATCCCAGCGCTTTTCTTTTAGATACAGGTAACTTTCTAATCATTCTTGACTCATTCATGACAGAGAAGACTGTATGAATCCTTACTAGAATCTGGGCAAAATCCCCACTTCTTATCTCTCTCGTATCGACTGGTTGTGGCACACCACGGTAAGTCATCTTGCCGGCCTTCTCGGATGCATTCGTGATGCCACTGCTGGTTGTACTGGAAGGGAAACACACATGGCATTCCGCGGGCATTCCCTTTGTGTGTATACACATCTAGGAGAAAAAAGTTCACAAAGTCAGGTAAGTGTGATGTCAGTTTCATCTTTGGAACATTCCACAGAGTACATGTATCCTTCATTGACCGAAAATTCCTGACCGAAGATCCCTTAAGGCAGGCATGTCTGTCAGGAGAGTACTGGGACAGGCACTGTGCTCAGAGAATGTGATGGCAAAATTTTTTTAATGTATTTATTTAATTGCTTAGTTAGCATACTGCATACATTTTTGGAATGGATAAGAGTGGAAACTACATGGAGATGTTCCTTTAAAATATCTTCCATTTCCCAAATGAGCCAGCTATCAGCATCAATACTCAACATAAGCAGAGATTTATTTATTCATTTAGCAAAAGTTTGTGGTGCATTTAAGGTATCCAGCACTGGGGAGATAAAACAGTGGACAAAGCAAAAAAAAAAAAAAATCCTTGTAAGGTGAAGGGGAGAGACATGGGAGAAGGAAATATATGTATGTATGGATACACACATACAGTTTTAGGTAGTAGTAAGCATTGCAGGAGAAATAGAGCATGAAGACAGAATGGGTACACTTGTGTGTGTGTTTGGTGTGTGAGTGTGTGCTTCTGGGGGGGCAGTGTAGGGGTTGTTTTGGGTAGAGCACTCAGTATAAGATTTTCCTGAATGAGAACTAGGAGAAGCAAAGGTGCAAGCTTTTGGAAAAGAGTCATTTGGCAAAAGGAGCAGCAAGTACAACAGTCATGTGACGAGAATGTGTGTGGTACAAATGAGGAACAGGAAGGATGGGGGATCAGGAAGAGCTGAGCATCCACTCACAGAGGACCAACCCTGCCAAATTGTGGATGTGGCCTTCACTATCAGGGTGGTGGGAAGTCATGATGGAGTTTGAATGTGGAAGTGAGCATATCGGAGTTCCATTTTTAAAGAATTACTGTGCAGTGTGGTAAACAACCTATATGGAAAAAGGCCCAAATGGTCTCACTAGCTGTCTTACCAAAGCAGTCTAGAGAGAAGTGAGCCCACATTGATGGCTTATGGGCTGCTTTTCAGTATATTGTAATAATCAGTCATTCCTGGCCTGCAGCAGGGGCAAGAAAACCTTTGCATAGCTCACCTGGGCTTTCCATCTTAGATATAAGGGTTTCCCTCCACTAAATCAACAGGTCCTGGGACAAAAGGGCTAACAGTGAAGATGTTCACCACTTTCCCACAGATGGCAGGGGTGGAGGAGCTGAGCTCACATGCATTGTTGACCTCAGTGGGTAGAGCTCTTTAGAAACTGCAGGCATTTCAGGACACAGCTTTCTGTTTCAAGTCTCTGCTACTAAGAAGTGGATGCAGCCCAGAGTCTTGCTCTGCATGCATTGTGACAGCTGACATTAACCTAAAGTGAAATATCACATATCAAGTCCTTCATTGGGACTGTAGGTTCTTTGGAGTACTGGGTTGAAAGCTTGATTTACTGTCAGGAGTCCAGAAGGTGCCTTGTTCTTGGCTCTCTTTCCACACACTCCTTGTGATAATGGGAGAAAATCCTCCCTTGCACCATAGAAGTTTGTTGCTTGGCTTCCTAAGAGAGTATGTATTGCATATGCCATTATGTTCTACATCACTGTTCTACAGAGCCTCGTGAGAGAGGGCCCACATCTGGCTTGATAGTCTGTGAACCAGTGCCTCCTGATGGACCCGAGTACAATTGGTGCTCCATAGATGTGTAATGGATGAAGGAGGGATGCATGGATACTTGGCTGGATGGGTGAATGGATGAAAAAAAGGGGGGAGGGGAGAAGCAAACAAATGCTGGAGGGCATGTCAGAGGCTTTAGAATTTAACAATATGACTTAGTTTTATTAGTATTTTTTTTCCTGTTTAAAACTGCTTGAAATAGAAGAAGTATTAAAAATAAAGCCTTTCTCCCCAAACTGAATTTCCCTAAAACTATGCTTGGTACACACCAAATAATCCCCATCTTCCATTCTCCTAGTGCCTTGGAATCTGGTTGTCACATGGATGCCAATCAAACATTAGGGGACATCTCTGGTGGCCTGCAGACACCCTTCGTAGGTGGGGATGAACTACGACAGTAAGTGATGGGAGCAGTGTGTGGACTGTTGTGGGCGAAAGCCTTTGCTGCAGAAACCTTTGCCTTTCACTCCCTTTTCTTCTACCACTAGTATTCCTCCTCCTTTCCACCTGTTCCCAAAGCTGGTCAGATATCTCTCCCCCAGTGTCTGTACATCTTGAGATGCTGTTTAGCAAAAATTAGCAGGTCCATTCCAAGACTCCAGTAATCCTTTCACCAAAAGCAAAGCAACAGCTAAAATATTCCTTGATGTTCTATGCATTTCTTCCATGCAGTGCTTTCCTAAAATTTTCTTATGAGGGGATTTCACTTAAAATGTACACTTGGAGAGCAGATGAGATTGGGTACTTTCAGGGTGGTATAATAAAAAGAAATAAAATTTTTAAAAAATGCACACTTCCATTAGCACTCTGGCTTATAGTTACCTTTGTGCAGATGTTGACAGATATCTCCACCATCTGACATGTAGGCATTCCAATTATGAAGTTGCTTCCACGTGACCACCACAATGTTGTCCTGCCTTGCCTGGATCATAGAATCCCCGGGACCCATAATCATCTTCTTGATACAGTGCCACCTGAAGAAAATGTGCTCAGAATCACATTCATAAAGGCGCAGTTGCTGCCCTGGGTTGAGTAAATTGAAGCCTACACAACCACTGCCTCCTATGTTGAAGAGCTGCTCATTTGAAACCCATTTCCATAGCATGTTCTTGTTGGGTCGTTCGCAGTTCTTCAAGGTCAGGATAGAGTGGTCTGCTTGGATGCATGTCTTATGGCTTTCACTCTGGATAATGAATATTCCTTTCTCTGCAACAGAAATAGTAAAGAGGTGGTGTGAAAATTTCATTTATAATTAATAAGTGTGCAAATCTAAGCTTTTCTGTGTCCCAGCTGCCAGTGTTTCTGGGTCTGGAGTTGATTGGCTGGGTCATCCAAGGACTTCAGTTGCACAAAGCAGAGAAGTTTATTGCAAGGCATGAAAGGATTTTCTGGAGTTAATGCAAGACCTCTGACCTCAGACCCTGCTGTGGGTACAGTATTATAAAAAGTCACAGTGAAATGTAATCTTCAGTGTGAGACACCAAGACCTGGGGTCAGATAGGGGCTTTCAGAAGGGATAGGGTAGGTACAATTTCACCATGAGAGGCTCTGTTAAAACAGCCAACTTTGTTGTGTCTCTGGAATACACCCAGAAGGAAGACCTTAGCAGATGTTGAACAGATGCTGCTGCCATGCTATTGGACATTCCAGCCTCCAGAAACACATGTTAAACCAATCTATACTCTTCATACATTACCAAATCTGGGACCAGCATTGTGGAGTTTAAAGCTGCTGCCACAACACCAGCCATCTTTGTTTGGAGCCAGTTAGTGTCCAACTCAGCTCCATGCTAAAGCACCTGGGAAGAGGGCAGAAGATAGTCTGAGTACTTGGGGCCCTGCTATTCATGTGAGAGACCAGGCCCAACCCTGGCCATTGCAGCTATTTGGGGAATGAGCTAGCAGATGGAACATCTCTCTCTTTTCCTGTCTCTTTCTCCCTCTCCCTTTATTATTCTGCCTTTTAAAACAAATAACTAAGTCTTAAGAAAAATTTCACCCAGTTTTTGCTATTCAATGATGCCATAGAAAATGGAAGAACATAACCTCATTGATCCTTTGGGAGCTAGGGCTACCTTGTTAGTCTAGGTGTGGTGCTGAGAGGCAGGGTGCCATTTGCACCTGCAGAGTAGGGGTTGGTACCAATACTCAGGAAAGCACGCTGTGTGCCTGGGAGTGCAGATTTCTTTGAAGAAACACACGAATGTTAGATGCCTACCAGCTGAATCAATAGCTGCTGAGATAAAAATCTCTACCATCAAGGTCCTTTGGGAAAGCAAGTAAGTGAGCGCTACTTTGTGTCCTCATAGAGGATTCAGGGCTAGAGAGCAAATAAGGTATCTCCACATTGGCTCTCTGTACTGTGTCCACTGAGAGTAGAAATGTGGGCATGCTTTGCCACTGGGATAGGCTCATAGGATTGGTAGTCCCATGATTGGGACTGGCAGAAGCAGGTAGACGCCCCAGACACCAGCTGAGATCCCAGCTCCAGGCACACAAGAGCCAGTAAAGCACCTCCACAGCTCTAGAACCAGCAGTCATTATGGGTACGTGGAAAGAGCAGGCAGGGTTTAGAATGCGCCTCCCTCCTGAGCTCTCCCCAAGCAGCCAGAAAAAAGGATCTGGGGAGGTTTCTGTGGAAAAAGCTGGTGGGACTCTGCCAGGGAATCTGTGTTAGTTCTACATCTACTGGCTGCGTTGACCTCAAGCTGCTGTCTTGGAAGACACTGATTACCTAACAATTGCCGGTGTGTTTCCTCACAAGTGTTTTGAAGATGGAAATCATGTCTTCTGTAGGCTAAGGAAGAGGGCGCTTGGCCTTGGAGGCCACGTGGTAGGAGGTTGATTGAATACACTGCAGCTGTTGCCGGGCCCCTGCTTATGGATCTTGTCTCAGCTCAGATGTCTGTGAGGTCTCAGAGATCTTTTGGTTTCCCGTTAGGGTGTAAGGCTCCCCTTTAAGATTTCTGAAACCGGGCTACTTGGAGTACTGGGTTGCAGGCAATCGCTTTTGCCTTTTTTTTTTTTAAAGATGTATTTGTTTTGAAAGAGTGAGATGGGGAGAGAGGCAGATCTACCCATTGGTTTACTTTTCAGATGGCTGCAACGGCCAGCACTGGCCAGGAGCATCAGCCAGGTCTCCCACATGGGCGGCAAGGATCCAAATTCTTAGGCCAACCTTCACTGCTATTCCCAGGCCATTATGAGGGAGCTGCATTGGAAGTCGAGAAGCTGGGACACAAACCAGGGCCCATGTGAGATGCTGGGGTCATGATAAGCAGCTTTACTCACACAGCTATAACACCAGCCCTGTCAACTCTTCAAAACTCTGGAGGTATGTCATCACGTTTCTTGAAATGGCCAGGGTTGGGGTGGATGTTTGGTGCTGTGACTGAGAAGCTGTTTGAAAATGTGCATCCTGTATCAGTGCCTAAGTTTGAATTCCAGCTCTTTTTCCTAATTCCAGCTTCATGAAAACATGCACCCAGGAAGGCAGTAAGTGATGGTGCAAATAAACAGGTTCTTGCCACCCACTTGGGAAGCCTGCATTGTGTTCCGAGCTCTTTGCTTCTGTGAGCACTTAGAGAGTGAACCATAAGAAGGATATTCATCTTTTGCCTCCCCGTCCCTATCTCTCTCCCTCTTTCCCCCTAACTCTTCTCCCTCCACTTGCCTGCTCTCCATATCTCACTTTCAAGTACAAACAGGAAGAAAATGACTAGGGTCTTAAGAAAGACATGCCTTAGGACAGTGGTAGGTCAGGGACAGGCAGGGGCCTTTCAGAGACTTGGAACAGTGCAGAAAGAATAGTGCTTCATTTTGGCAGAAGTCCTTTTGGTTTCCCCAAAGTTAAGCTTAAGACAACTGATTTACAGTTGCCCGAATCATTTAAGACATTGTTTAAAAGGACTGTCAGTGTCATAATGAAAGCTACACCTCATTTAATAATCAATAACCCTACTTAGAGCCATGTATTTGAAGAATTGAATTAGTTGTCAGAAAATTTCTTTGATCATCATATATCAGAGTAAAAGAGGAGTTGGCTGAGGGGTTGGGGGAAAATGAATGGTTTTAAGGCTGTTTCATTAAGAGCAGGAAATTTGTTTTCCATGTCTGTACAGTTATTAGAAATGGTCATTCAAAATCAAATCTACCTCTCATCAGTGTGATATGAACTCTGATAATTAACCTTCTCTTCAACTCTTTTTCACCTTTTTATGCTTGAGTAAAATGTTAACCTTAATTTCTATTGTAATCTACTAATTATTTTCTGGCTAGTTCAGACTTCCACTAATTTTTCATTAAAGGATAATTATTTTACTATAATAGTTCTATAGTTCAGCTTCTACCAGTTACATACATTCAAGTTTACTCTGTTCTGCAACCTGCTGCCTAGTTTCACTTTACACACCTGAAATAGGTGTGTGGACTTGGCTAGTTGTTAAGAGCATTCGAATCAGGCAGGCAGACCAATTTCAGACCAGGTGTGTACCTTTGGGCAGATTGCTTGACCTTGGTGAGCCTTGCTTTTTCATTTGAACTGCAGATATGTACAATCCTATTACAGACTTGACAATATGCTGGTTGTCCCTCAGAAGTCCATGCACTGGGTTGGGGGGTGCTTCCAGTGGATCATTATTAATAGTTAAAGGATTAATGGTTGGAGGCTTGATTCAGCTTTGGTGTCTGGTAGATAGGCGTACTGCGAGGCCTTTAGGTTAGTGGGGTCTTATTCTCAGAAAATAGCTCTTGTGGGAGGGTTTGCTATATGAGTTGAGTTCAGCCCAGTTTCTCTATACTGCGTTGACCACCACGTGATCCTTGCTCTGCATGAGTTCCACCAGCCACTACACTTGTCAAATGCCAAACTAATAGAGGTGCCCAGTCCTAGCCTATTTGCCTCTCAAACTGTGAATCTTTTTGCTTCCCTAGTAGCTCCACTCATGTGTTTTGTTTAAACTACATTAATATGGATTCTAATCTCTTGGGTGTTAAATAACTCATGCAATACACAGCACATGTTACCATGGGAAGTGGGATGATACCTATAAACATGAGTTGTTAGAATTTTCACTTAGGCTTTCTGATTCTTGGTCTGATTATTTAGCTGTCGATATGGTGCCAACCTGAGCATTCCCCCGACCAAAGTTCTTTTTTACCAACCTGAGCACAAAAACATACTTTTAATTTAGCACATGTGAGTATGTTATAATGTTTTAGTTATAAACAGTCCTGACACTTTGCTATCACATTTTAGAAAATAATAAGCATGCCAAACAACCTGATGACCAAACCCTTCTCTTATTTGTTAAAACAATATGCAATTATGAGTTAAGAGCGTACATCTGTTGCTCTTTCATATTACCCACATGTGAAGTCTACACTGCTGCTGTTTTTTTTTTCTTTATTTAAAAATTTTTAAAAATACTGTTGCTGTTTTATAAGGGAAAGTAAGTGATGTTGACAAGCATTGCTCCAGTAGGGGAATGAATATTCTATGAGTAAGTGGGCACAGGAAGGACACGCCACTAAAATGTGGGAGAGATGAATAATGAGTTTAAGCTTCCCAATTACTGAGCATTAAGAGAAAAAGTAGAAGAATCAACATTAATTGAGCACATTAATAATCACAAAAATCTTTCCCAAACAAAAGATATTGGTAAGCTTTATAGCATATGCCCAATTTTGGGGTGCTATTATATCTTCATGTCAGCTGCTATCAAAATGTAACTCTGGAGAAGCTCTTCAGAATGTACAGACAAGTACCTGAGGTTTATTCATAACAGTAAACATGCTGTGGCTGTTGGTATGGCTTAGCAAGTGAAGCCACTGCCTGCAATACAGACATTCCGTATGAGTTCCAGTTTGAGTTCTAGCTGCCTCACTTCTGACCCAGCTCCCTGCTAGTGGCCTAACAATGCAGCAGAAGATGGCCCAAGTGTTTGGACTTCTGCCACTCATGTAGGAGTTCTAGATAAAACTGTTGTGGCTTTGACCTGGCTGTTGTGCCCATCTGGAAAGTTAACCAATGGTGGAAGATCTTTCTCTGCCTCTCTGTTACTCTGCTTTTTCAAATAGAGCTTTTTAAAAAGTACTAATGAACCATGCTACCTTCAGATACGTTAAGCTAAAAATACCTGAACCTACTTTCCGTTAAGTTATAATAGAATTTGACACTAGCACTGATGATCTCCATACATTCATTGA